ACCAGGATGGTCTCGATCTCTTGACCTCGTGATCCACCCGCCTCGGCCTCCCAAAGTGCTGGGATTACAGGCTTGAGCCACCGTGCCCGGCCCAGTTACTTGTTTTTTAAATTAAAATTTCCTCCCTAAACATTGTGTGGTTAACAAATCATTGTTTTTTGTGTTTTGTGTAGAATTTCTTTACCTTGTCACTTTCTGGACATTTTTCCCCATTAACTGTGTATTTTTTGTTCCTGACATTTGGAACCTTTATAAATATTGATGGTACCAAGGGAGGTTGTATGCTGACTCTGCCTTCACTGTTGTGATGAGTAAGCAACATAACTCAAAATCGAAGAGCTATGGTGTCTGTTTCTGTAACAAGAAACATTTGGGAAGAGAATTTCATAAGCCTTTAGGAAAAATAATTTTGGTTTCTCCTAACTGGTATAAAAACCGGAATGATTGGGATAATCTCGAGTTTTTTGTGCAACTGTATGTAGAAGTGACACATGTCTGATTCATGATGCGTGTGCCATTGAGAAATATAGAAGGGATCTACAAAATTAAGTTTGGAAAAGTAATTAGGTATAGGTTTGTGTAATATCCTGAGGAATAAATCATTATATTTTAAGTTCTGTGTTAATATATAGGCTTGTGTTTAGCTGAGGCTTAAAACTCTTACTTTAAATTTTATCTTAAATATAGAGATCTTTCTACATCAGTTCATACAATGTTTTGTATATCCAGCATGATAGAACCCTTTAACCCTGTTCAAAATAGAGGATCGAAGGTTTGACAGCTTTTATATGGAGAAGTGAATTACATGCTGTCAGTGTAATTGCAGTACCAGAAAGAATGTAGTAAAACATCCCTGTTGCATTTCAATGGTGCCACATAAAAGACAATGATAACTTAATTATACTTTAACATACATTCAGAGACAACTTTCCTTTGTAACCCCAACCTGTACTGGGCTCTACCAGGATATGCTTATTTCTCTGTGTTTTTTATAGTACCATCCAACAAAAATGCAATGCTGCTGGGTATAGTTCTCTGTTTGTGGGTTCTTCAGATTTTTTTTTTTTTTTTTTTGGGGCGGAGT